TTTATGTATTGTGTATATATTGTATAAATATTATATATGTATTATAATATATTGGGTTGACGGAAAGCCATGACGCATTTTTGCAACAAAAAACATAGAAAAAAATACGTCATGACTTTTCCGACAACCCAATATATTATATACAAAATATTTATATATTATATAACATATATAATACATATTACACACACACACCAGAGCAGTAGGATAAACTCAAATCAGCCAACAGGAGTTTTTGAAGTTATTTTAGGGGTATTAAACTGATTTCTTGACTCCCGTGTTTATGGGAGTTTCTTGAGTTATTTGGACCTAGAAGCTAATTCTAAATAATGATTTTATGAAATTCCTAACCATGATATGATTTTATTCTCAGAATTAAGAAAAAGAAAGAACAGCAACGTTATGCTGAAGAGCAGAGGATATTAAGAATGAACGTTCATGAAGAGGAGCCATATTCAGGGGAAAAGATGAGCGAGACGTTAGCCCAGCTACAACTTGAGGAAATAAAAGGAGCCAAAGACAAACAGCGACAGAGAGAAAAGGAATACCAAAGGTACTTTGAAAAGTTCTACATGAAACTCTGGCTCTAGAAGAGACTTGTTAGGAAGTCAGTGTTCTCAGTTTCCTTACCACAGTTCACTGTGTCTTCTCAAAGTTTTGGGGGTACAGAACTTCACCAAATATCTTGGGTGCCTTATACCTCTCAGGAACAGCATGCATTTGCCCAGTGCCATTTCCCAGTTCAGAGAGGAAGAGTCGGGGCACAGAGGTGTGGGGTAGTTTTCACAGTTAAAGCTGGTAGTAAATGAAAGACTCATGCTCATTCTCTTCCCAGTGGTTCACTTTGCCTGATCATACTGTATTTTTATAGATATGTAGAAGCTTTAAGAGCCCAGATCCAAGAGAAAATGCAGCTGTGCAATATTACTTTACCTCCACTCTGCTACTGTGGTCCTGACTTTTGGGATGCTCATCCTGATACCTGTGCCAACAATTGTATTTTCTATAAAAACCACAGAGGTAAGTTTCTTAAAGGAATGGTTGGGGCCTGCTGGCAATTAAAGAAAAGTAGTGATTGTAGTAGTGGTTACAGTAATTTCACATTTATTGAGTGCTTACTATGTGACAGAGACTGTTATAACCTCTTTACAGAACAACCCTGAGGCAATAAAAATAGTTACAGTGAGTTATATTCTTCTTTGAGATCTGTTATCGTCTTGTCTCCGTTACGCTAGGGAAATATTTCCAGCTCACTCCACCGGAGGAAGACTTGCATTCCAGATTCTCCTGTAAATGAAGACTATCAGAGCTCGCCTTTTATGACCATGAAGTTAGGGCTCAGTCCAGCTGAATTCCCTGTTATCAAAATACTTTAATGTTATCTAACACAGACTTATTACCATATACGAGTATGTCCACATTAGACTGCCAGTTCTGCCAGGGGACGCTGAGGAAAATGAGGACCAGCATAAACTCTGTGTTTATCAGGAGTCCCAGCTAGAGAAAGTGGAGTCCTTCCTGCTGTCCTTAATGTTTCTGTTTCCTGTCCATCCTTAAACATAGTGGTTTACACCACGTAGAGATTATGTAGGCTTTATGCACACACTGAAAATACTGCACGTATTTGTATTCCTAGTGCTCCATCTGTGTGATTGGAGTTTCTTGTCACGTCTGTGAGTTATATTTTAAAAACACAAATCTGATGATGCCATTCTCCTATTCTAAAACGTCCAGGTCTTTTACAGTACAAAATGCATGGCACATTTGGCATATTTTCTTTCTGGCCCCAGGCAAAACTCTAGCCTTATGAAACTAGCCACTGTCAAACACCAGTACGTGTCACTTTTTTTAATATATATATCTTTTGTACCTCACACACTCATTTCTCTGCCTAGAATGCTTTCTTTCTTTTACTTTTCATTAAACCTTCAAGACCACCATCTTAAATGTTACCACTTCTGGACATCTTTTCCGTCCTCTCTTAGATAGTTTTTTCATTCATTCCAGACTTTATTCTGTGATGACACTTTGTATATGTCTCCGGTTTGAACGTTTTACACTGTAATTTAATTATTTTTTGTGTTCACCATCTCCATTATCTTTTCTTTTCTCACAGAGTGCTTGGCATGTAATAAGTACTCAATAAATATTTATTCAATGGATAGTTAATACCTATGAGACTGGGTAGCGAAACAGTACTAATAGGAAAGGTGTTGGGAGAGTTGATTAGAATCTGACTTCACCACTATGCAAACCTTTATTTGCAGCATACACCCGGGCACTACATTCAGTCATCAATTCCTGTGATATCCCTGAGGGGAACTCAGCTCTTCGAATCGCCATTCATAATTTTGCTTCTGCCCACAGACGGACTTTGAAAAATGTATAATAAGAATCTGAAATCAACTGTTAGCATTTCAGCCTTCAGTTCAAATCAACCTTGAGAGATTATTTAGGAAAAGCTTTTGAAGTGTGTAAGATGTGTAATCTGGAAAGAAAGACTGTCCCACATGACAACTCTCCCTGTAATTAGGATGGACCCATTGTTTCAGTCTCTACCTCGGGACTAAGATGAAAAGTTGACTTCCAAACTTGTCTCTTTGCTATGAACCAACCATAAAAATCTATTGTTTTAAAAATGATCAGTTAGATCAGTAAGGTTTTTCTTATTTTGCTGTGCTCTGATCAGAAGAGATCATGAGAAATCTTGGAGATTATTTCATTTATTGTCTTTCTAAAATTGTATCTTTGAGTCTTGACAAAATTGAAAATGTCTGATGAAGCAGAAAAGAAGATGACGACATGAGTTCTGAGCATCAGTGGCCATCTAGATGGGTTCGCTTTTCTAGTTGTGTATAACAGAAATGAAAAGAATCGGAATTTGATACACATTTTTTTTCTCAAAATCTTTCCTGTATTTTTTAACTTACTACCTCTTTCCCCATACAGTGACATTGGACATAAGGCTTTTTAATTTTATAACTTTCATTGCCAAAAAAGGGCAAATAAACCCTCTGTCATATAAGCTCTTCTATGTGAAATAATTGTGACATTTCAAAAACTGAATCTGAAGTCAAAGTGAGTCAAGTCCTCCTGCCTTATTTCCCTACGTTTTAAAAATTTGGTGAATGGCATACCTACAGAGCAGATGAAATAAAAATTGCTATAGTTAGTATGAATTTGTTATTTCTTCACAGTATTTTCTGACACAAAATATGAAAGGTTTAATATTGTGAGTTAAAGATATACTGACAGTTCCTTTTTCATACTTTCTCTAATGATCAGTGTCGAAGAAGCACTTAGGTTATGTCTGAAAAACACCTAAACATCTAACCAGGTCATTGAAAATAAGGATCAAAATTACCTGTATGACGAGGTTGATTAGTTATTTAACCAGATTAATTATCCAGTTTAGTCAAAATCCTTAAGTAACCATATCCCCGATTCAGCCTTTAAGAGTTGTATTTTTAACAACTATATTGAGATATAATTCATATACCATATGTTTCACCCTTTTGAAATGTACAATTCAATGGTTTTTAGTATAGTCTAGGGTTGCGCGACTTTCAGATTTTAGAACACTTTTGTCATTGTAAAGAGATGCCCCCATGATCCAGCAATCCCAGTTCTGAGTCCATATCCAAAAGAATTGAAAGCAGGGTCTTGAAGAGATATTTGCACACTCATGTTCATTGCAGCACTAATTCATAATAATCAAGAGGTGGAAACAACCTAAATGTCTACCTACAGATGAATGGATAAATAGAATGTGGTATTCTATTGGCAGAGGGTACCAATAAAATTATACACATTTTAAGAAAGGAAAAAACTGTATTAAAATTGTAATACTCAATACATACCAATAACAAAAGATGAATACAAATCACGTTTGACTTCTGCAATTACAAGAGGAGCTCAAAATGGTTACCATCAGCATCTAGACACTTCTGATTATGGCAAACTACTCTTTGGGCAGTGTTGACCAAATTGTCCACTTGTATCACTGAGCACGCCGTTTCAATTTTTTCACACAGTACCATGCGTCTCAAACTTACCACGAATGCGTGCAGTTGTTAGGTGTGTTGGAGGTTCTATTGCATACTCACACCTCCATTGTCGTACTGCCACAACATTCCCGAATTTCAAATACCACTTCAAAATGGTCTTGCGCTCCTCAAACGACAACCATGCTTCTGCCATTTTCTTTGTCCTGTATGTTGCATGGTGATGCTAGCATTCATTTGATTAACGCATTCTTTTTGAGTGAATGCCATGCTACACATTGCTACCGTAATTCAATTCAACTTCGAAAAGTAATACATAGATAACATCTCTTAAAATGTGTATACATTTTTTGCACCCTGGTATACATACAATGGAATATTAATATCATTCAGCCTTAAAAAGGAAATAAATATCCTGGTCACTTGCTATAATATGGATGGGCCTTAAGGACATTCTCCTAGGTCAGTCACAAAAAGACAAATACTGTATGACTACATTTATATGAGGAGTCTGGAGTACTACAGTTCATAAAGACAGAAAGTAGAAGGGTGATTGCCAGGGGTAAGGGGGAGGGGGAAATGGGAAGATGTTTAATGGGCAGAGCTTCAGTTTTGCAAGTTGAAAAAGCTCTGGAGATCTGTTTCACAACAATGTGAACATATTTAACACTGATAAACTGTGCACTTAAAGTGGTTGCAATAGTAATTTTTAGATTTCGTGGGGGGATTTTTAACTATAAAAATTAAAAACTTTAAAAAAGACAAACCCCATACCCATTAGTAGTCGCATCCCCTTCTCTCCCCGCTTAGCCCTAGGCAATCACCAGCCAACTTTCTGTCTCTATTGATTTGTCTGTTCTGAGATTTTCATGTAAATGAATCATATCATTGTTAACCTCAAAATAAAAGGTCATCTTGAGAGGCAACAAGCATTAGTTTGAGATCTAAAAGAATAGCTATTCTGGAAGCACTGATTTGGCAGAAAGCAAGTAGTGTTCTGATTAGGAGGCGAAGGCGAGGGGTGTTCATGAGAAAGGGAAGGGGGATAATTATGTTAATAGAAGGAAGGAATTTCTATAGGTGTTACTAAGCTAAGAATGAATTTCTATAGGTGCCAATAAGCTAACATAGTGATGATAATTCTAAAGAATGTTTTTAATTTTCAGTCCAGTAGTCAGACAGTTGTTTGGAATACAGTGTTGGCTTAGGCCCAGTCCAAAGGTTATTTTATCCAGTTTTAACATCACAAAGGTTAGAGAAGTGACATGCAAGTCAGTTCCTCTGGGATGACGGCTCTGTCGCCATTTTAAAGTGGCTCCACTTATATTATTTTTTACACGGTAGAGGGTCTTTAGTGACTGGACCCTTTCATTTAGTATAATGTTTTTAAGATTTATCCATGTTGTAGCATGCATCAGTACTTCATTATTTTTTAATGCCAGATAACATTCCACTGTATGGATAGACCACATTTTATTTATCCATTCATCAGTTGATGAATATTTGGGCTGTTTCTACTTCTTGGCTATTATGAATAATGCTGCTGTGAACATTTGTTGCCAAGATTTTCTGTGGGCATATGTTTTCATTTTTCTTGGGTATATACCTAGGAGTGGATTTGCTGGGTCATAGAGTAGGTAGCTCTGTGTTGAACCTTTTCAGGAACTGAAAACTTTTCCAAGGTGGCTGTACCATTTTACATTCCCACCTGAAGGTGCATAAGAGCTCAGATTTTTTCACATCTCCAACACTTGTCATTATCCGTTTCTTTGACTGGAGTCGTCCTACTGTGTGTGAAGTGGTATCTCATTGTGGTTTTAATGTGCATTTTCCTGATGACTAATGATGTTGTATATCTTTTTTGGAAAACCGTCTCTTCAGATCCTTTGCCCATTTCGTAATTGGGTTATTTATCTTTTGATTATTGAGTTATGAGCGTTAATATATTCTACATACAGGTTTCTTGTCAACATATGATTTGCAGATATTTTCTCATGGGGATTGTCTTTTCACTTTCTTCGTGGTTTCCTTCACAGTACAAAAGTTTTTAATTTTGATGAAGTATAATTCATCTACTTTTTATTTTGTTGCTTTAACCATTACCTAAACCAGGGTCACAAAGATTTACCCCTATGTGTTCTTAGAGTTTTATAGTTTTAGCTCATATATAGGTCTATGATCTATTTTCAGTTTATTTTTGTGTTTGGTGTTATTAGGGGTCCAACTTCATTCTTTTGCATGAGGATATTTAGTTGTCCCAGCACCATTTCTTCAAAAAACTATTATTTGCCCCACTGAATTGATATGGCACTCTTATTGAAAATCGATGGATCACTAATGTAAGGGTTTGTTTTTGAATTCTCAATTCTACTCCATTAATCTTTATGTTTATTCTTATTCCAGTAAAATCTGTCTTGATTACTGCTTTGTCATGAGTTGGGAAGCATGAGTCCTTCAACTTTGTTCTTCTTTTCCAAGATTGTTTTGCTGTTCTGAGTCCCTTGCATTTTTCATATGGATTTTAAGATCACCCTCCTGTAAAAAAGTCAGCTGAGATTTTGATAGGGATTGCATTAAATCTATAGATGAATTTGGGAGCTATTGCCCTGATCCATGAACATGGGATGTCTTTTCATTCAATTAAATCTTATTTAATTTTTTCAACAATATTTTGTAGTTTTCAGAGCATAAAATTTGTACTTCTTTTGTTAAATTTATTTTGAAGTATTTTATTCTTTTTGATGCTATTTCAAATGGAATTTTTCTCTAGATTTTATTTTCAAGTTGTTCATCACAAGTTCAGACCATCATCATCTCTCTCATGGATTATTGTAAGTTTCCTAAATAATCTCTCTGTTTGCATCTTTTGAACTTTTTTTAATACAGCAGTCAAACTTAATACATCCAAAACCAGCCCTCTGATCTCTACCTACACACATATACACACGCACAAACGCGCACAGACACACACAAACCAAACAACAAAAAATCTTTTCCTCCTGCAGTTTTCTTCATCTCAGCAAATGACAGCTCTGTCCTAGCTGCTCTGGCTAAAAAAGCATGGAGTTGGCCTTCATTCTTGTCTTTCTTATACAACCCACATCCAATCCTTGTTGGCTTTACCTTGAAAATATATTCAAAATAACAACTAGTAGTTGTAGTGTCTGCCCCACCACAACTCTGAGTCATCATTCTGACTCACCTGTGTTACTGCAATAGCCTCCTAGTTGGATTTCTTGTTTCTGTATTTGCCCCTAAAGACTGTTCTTAGCACCACCGCCAGAACAGTCCTTTCCAAAAAAAGGAAGGTCGTATCACTCGTCTGCTGAGAGTCTCCTTTGGCTATTTGTTTTACTCAAGAGAAGCCAGAGACTCTACAGTGTCATACAAGGCCCTATAAAATCTGATCCCAATTTCTTCCGAGGCTTTGTCTCCTCCTCGCTCATTCTGCTTAGGCCCAGTGACCTTGTGCTTTCCTGGCTGTTGCAGGGATGCCTGCTTCACGGCTTTTTCATTTGCTGTTGGCTCGGCCTGGAGACACTTCTTCACTTTCTTACCTCTTTCAAGTCTTTATTCAGATGTATTTTATCTGAGAGCCTTACCTGACCATCCTATTGCAAAATGCAGCCCTTCTGCCCACCCCCACACTCAGATTTTCTTATCCCCTTTCCCTGCCATATTTTCTTCATGGTATTTATAGCTGTATGACAAAAAATAGTCATATATTTTACTTAATTTTTTTTCCCTGTCCCCCCTAGATTGTACACTCCATGAGGACAGGGATTTTTGCTTTTGTTCAGTGTTCTGTCTCCCCCATTCTTATGACTATGCCTGGCACATAATTGGCTCTAAGTAAATGTTAAATGAACAGATTTGTCTTTCAAAACTTCCAAATATTTCTACATGATTAGTAACTTTAGCTAATGTTTTTGATCGTTACTCAGAAGATCTTTAGACATCGTTTTACTTTGTTTTCCATTTTCTCATTGCCACTGTGATTTGAGACAATTTAATTTCTCTG